CAGGTAGAGGTTACGGGAGTTTCGTAGGAAAAGGTCCCCAATCCCAGACGGGACACTCTCAGTCGAGCTCTGGCCGGAACCAATGGAACTCCAGAGGCAATGTCTCGGCAGGGGCACCCTCCGGATCGTGGAACAACAGATCGAATTTCCGAGGTAGTTGTTGGACGTGTGGTGGAAACCACAAACAGGAGAATTGCCCGCAAAACCAGAGCCGCCCCACACACGAGTTGCACCTTGACCTGTCCAACGCTATCATGGAAGAATTCATTGGAGAGCCCGAGCCGTACACGGAAGAAATCAGTTTTGATGGTTTGGTTTTGGAGGCGCTTGAAAACGACACCAGGTTTTTTGATTACGATTTGCTGGACGAGGCTATCGAAAAAACAACTCCGTGCCACTCAGGATCCGTGCCAGCCCGTAGGTGCGCCAATGGGCGCTGACAACAACATCAAAGCAAACAGGTACGTGAATCGAGGAGCCCATCCAGGAACTTCAGAGGGACCTGGCGCTGGGTGCACAGAACGCGAACAGGAGGGCAGCGCGTGTTTGGAACCACTTGCGACTTCGCGCTCAAGGCTGGTTCGTCCGAAAACGAATTTCTTAGGAACTCTGAAAGCAAAGATGGATTCAGGAGCCTGCGTCACAGTCATTCCCAGAAAAGTTGCGTGTGTGTACGACAAAGTCAAGGGATGTCATGGGCCCCCAAACGGACAGGACTACAGGAGCGCGTTCGGAACAAAGATTCCAGATGAAGGAAGTAGGAAACTAAAGGCGCTCGACAGGAACAATAAACTGTGTTCACTGCAGGCCCGTGTAGCAGACGTGAAGAATCCGTTGTGTTCCGTTTCCAACATTTGCGATCAGAACAAACTTGTTGTTTTCTCCAAGTCAGGTGGTTTTATTTACGATATTGCGACTCGCAAGAAAACTCCCTTCGATAGGGAGAACGATACGTACGTAATGGAATTTCGGATTTTGCACCCTGGTTCAAAACTCACTGCGAGGCCCTTATCTGCCGGTGATGGCAGCTCTTTGGGCCCAGGCGGCGCTACACAGGACAATGCCTCTCGAGGGTCGCCGGGATTTTTCCGGTGGCAGTCGAGGAAGGCGTAAGACCCCGAATTTGCCAACCATGTAGTTTCACACCGGGCTCTGCGAGCATCCCGGCACAACCTTCGAACGGTGTTAAAACTAGTGCTGTAAGTTTTGACCTTCTACCTCTAGACGCGCCCAGTAACATGGATGTGGAACATGAAGCCAGCACTGCCCCAAGGCACTCCGGCAGGAATACTTCTGGTGAATCTGCCCGTGGGGCCGCACCGCCCCCACAAGCCATGGTTAGAGTCGAGGAAGGTGAGGAATGGGTCAATCGTCCCGAATTTGATGTAGAGCCACCGGAGCTTATCGTAGAAGCTCCCCCGGTAGAACCTTCTGAATCTGAGGAGGTGCGTGTTTTACCCAAGCGTTTAAACCCAGATGAGCCTACACAGCAGGAAATCATCGATCATGAGAACAGTTTTCATTGTCGATATCGGTCTTGGTGCCCTCATTGTGTTAGGGGGCGTGGCAGGATGTTGGATCACACGGTTGCTTCTCAGCGCACTCGTCTTGTGAACACCGTGTCCATAGATTATTTCTTTTTAGGACAGCACGATGATCCAACATGCACGTGCATAGCATTAGTTGATCATGCATATGGCAGTAAGTCTAGTAGGGTTGTACCTTCCAAAACACACCCCTATGCAGTGAAGTGTTTGATAGATGACATTATTAATTTAGGTCACAAGAAATTCATTTTCAAATCGGACCAAGAGCCCGCGATCTTGGATCTGAAAAACAAGGTACGTGCAGGTTTGGACGACACTCATCAAATAATATTTGAGTCTAGCCCAGTAGGGGATCATCAGGCGAATGGTGTGGTTGAGCGGTCTGTCCAAACTATTGCCGGTTTGATTCGTACCCTGAAAGACGCTCTGGAAACCAGCTGCGGCTGGCAAATTCCGAGCGACCATCCTTTATTACCTTGGCTTGTTAGTTTTGCTTCGTGCGTTTTGAACCGATGTCAGGTAAGTGCGGACGGCCGCGCACCATGCGAGAGACTCAAAGGGAAGCGATACATGAAAGCTTTACCTCAGTTTGGTGAGTTTGTTTTCTACGCCCCTGCAGTAAGCAGTAAAGGCAGGTTGAACAAATTAGAGAATAAGTTTGTTGATGGAGTTTTTGTTGGAATTAGTGACATGTCTGATGAGGTGTTCATTGGTACCCCTGAAGGTGTAGTGAAAGCCAGGTCGTACCGCAGACGACCTCCATCGTTGCGTTTTTCGGTGGATCATCTGAAGAACATGAAAGGCACGCCTTGGAAACCGAACCCTGAAACCGATGAGCCCGATGTGAAAATCAGTCTTGAGATCAAGCCTGCAATTCTTGATGGGTTCCCTGTGCCACCTCCTCTCGCGAAGGCGGAGGGCCATGTGGCGACTCCGAGGCAACTTTACATCCGCACAGCTGATTTGATTAAGTTTGGTTATTCTTCTAACGGCCCCGGTTGTGAAGCACACCGGGAAGGAAAACCCCCTGTTGCTCATTCGCAAGCGTGCCGTGCACGAATGTACCCTTTGATCAAATCTACACCGCAAGGGCAAATCCGAGCGGACACCCAAAAGCGGAAAATGGACGATCATGTAGGTCGAGCTGGCAGTCAGAGGCCAATCTCCGGAAGCGAGGCTTGCGATACCAAGCGAAGGCACGTGTCAGCAGACACCTCTGCCGCGAATGTCCCTGATCAGCAGATGGAGCCAGTGGTAGAGCCACAGGTTGCGCCTGAAATCCCAGAACAACCCGGACCTGTGACTCCTGCTTCGGGGTCCGCCGGGATAGGACTAGATGGTTCCCATGAGGACGTGCGCATGTCAAACGAGGGTGGTTTGAGCGCACTGCATCGTAGCATCGCTCAGGAGGTAGATCTAGAGTCGTTTCAATCATTACGTAGGTCATTCCGTAAGCTAGGTTTTGACACGTCGATTTCTGAGCTAATAGGAAAGAGCGAAACAGAGTTTGGGATGTGCCACGGTTTGGATCCGTCTTTGGTTCTTGATTTCTCTCGGGTGAACCCTCATGATGGGTCAGTGTGGGACTTCACCAGAAGGTCTCACAGAGATGCCGCCAAGCTTGCTGCTAATTCTAATTCTCCCATGCTTGTTGTGGGAGTTGGCTTGCACAGCCCAGACAAACAGAAACGAATAGTTCATGCGAAGTTCTTGCGTGAAATGTACAGCGAGCAGAAGAGGTGTGGTAAACTGTATTTACACACATGTCGAAACATAGCAGGTAAGCAGCGCACGTGGGGTAGCAATTCTAGTCACTGTGTGTTGTCGCTTAAGAAATGGTGCACGCATCGTGACCCATGTAGCCGTATGAAATTGTCACGGTTTTATTCGGGCGTCTTGGAAGGCCTTGTTAATGAGTTGCATTGTTCGCACATGTTGTCTCTCAATGGGGTTGGTGTTGTTTTGTGCCAAGAGGCCCCGGTACCTCAGACCGGGGATTATCCGACGTATTGGGATAATATCTCGGGAGCCCCGCTCGAGGCCTCAATGGTGCGTGAGGCGCGACAGGCCGAAATGAAGGAAGTGCACAAGCACAACGTGTACACAAAGGTGCCTCTTTCAGAGTGTCTGGAACACACCGGACGCCCTCCGATAGGCACGCGTTGGGTAGACGTAAACAAAGGTGACGAAACCAACCCGGAATATCGTTCCCGTATTGTTGCACAAGAGCTGAAACGTTTGGAAGAGAGGGGCGACACTTTTGCGGCAACACCGCCGCTTGAGGCATTGAAGTTTATTTTGAGCCCGTGTATGACTGAAGGAAAGGATCGTTCATCCCGTAAGTATTTGAGTTTCTTGGATGTTCGACGCGCGCACTTTCATGCGCCTGCCACTCGTGAGGTGTATGTGCAGCTTCCGCCCGAGGACGCTTCCCCTGGCATGGTAGGTCGTCTTAACATGTCGATGTACGGTACTCGCGATGCCGCGTTAAACTGGGAATCAAAATACACAGCTGTGATGAAAAAGTGTGGTTTTGAGCAAGGCGTTTGGAATCCGTGTATATTTAAACACAAAACGAGAGATCTCCAATGCTATGTGCATGGGGACGATTTTATTTCAGTAGGTTCGGATGCTGATTTGTCTTGGTTTACAACGTACATGCAGTCAGAGTTTGAGATCAAAGATCGTGGTACCTTGGGTGACCTCCAACACCGCACTCAAGAGATTCGGTGTTTGAATCGGATCATTCGTTGGTGTCTTGACAGTAGTTCTGGGGATCCGTATTTGGAGTACGAACCAGACAACCGACATGCTGAAATTATTGTGTCGCAGTTGGGTCTTGACAGAGCACACGGCAATTCAAAATCCGTGACGACGCCAGGGGTAAAACAAAGTGCCGACCAAGACGCTGAATTCTTGGACGCTCATATGACATCATTATTCCGTAGTGTTTGCATGCGTATTAATTTTCTAGCACTTGATCGTGCTGAGCTTCAGTTTGCAGGGAAAGAGGCCGCACGAGGAATGTCGAAACCGACAGCGGCTGATTTTGAGAAGTTGAAAAGGATAGGAAGATATTTGCTTAATTGTCCACGCACGTGCCAAAGGTTTCCCTTGCAACCCCCGCAATCATTTTGTGATGTTGACGTGGACAGCGACCACGCCGGATGCTTAGGCACAAGGAAAAGCACGAACGGGGGTGTGCAGTTTCACGGGAGACATTGTATACGCACTTATTCTTCCACTCAAACAGTGCTTGCCCTGAGTTCCGGGGAGTCTGAATTTTACAGCATAGTGAAAGGCATCAGCACATGCCTTGGTTAGGGGGCTATGGCAAAAGATTTTGGCATTACCTTTAAATGCCGACTACACACAGACAGCTCTTCAGCGAAAGCGATAGCAACCAGAAGAGGCGTAGGCAAAATTCGCCACTTGCACACGCAATCCTTGTGGGTTCAAGACAAAGTCGCCCAAAAGGAAATTGTGGTGCACAAGGTGCCTGGAAAGGAAAATGCAGCAGATTTAGGCACGAAACATTTGGACCAGTCTTCCATGTGGAAGTGTTTAGGGAAGATAGGGCAGGTTAGGTTGTCAGGTCAATCAAGCATCTCTTTGATAGCGGCAGTGTAGACCAATCGATGTGTTGGTCTTCCGTAGACACTTGGGCTCGAGCATTTCTTTTGCTGAGAAACCATGAGCCTTTCCAAGCATGTAAAGATTGCTTTTGTGCGCTGCCCGGATTGCCCGGCGTGGGAGCCGCAGTACTTTGAGATGAAGGCCGCAGAGATGAAGACGGAAGAGCAGACGAGCAAAGCGCTCGCCTACCGCTTGAATCAACACTTGAAGAACGCTAAAAGCCACGAGATGGACAGCGCAGCAGCGCAGCAGTTGGCTGATGCACAGCCTATCGTATACTGTTCAGAGGACAAGAAACCTTGGAGGCGGGTCAAGGAGCCCTGGGTGAAGTTGCCTTCACCGCCACCACCGCCAGCAGCGGCAGCAACCGACCGCAAGAAGCAGGACGAGTCGTCTGAGAGCGACAGGTCGAGGTCCCCGGAACGGGCCGAGCCAGCACCTCCGGTCACGGAGGAGCAGCGCGTGGAGGACGCTTTGATTGACATCGAGAGGATGAATAAGATGAGCAGTCTGGCGCAGATTCTCACGGGCGTGAGCAATCGCATGCGCGACCTCACGGAAGACGACAACGAAGAGTGAGCAAGCGAAGAACTCACGGCTAGGGCACAACTTTTTCACCGCATCACATCTACGTGGTGATGGTCACACTTGCCTTTTGTATCGCACTGACACAGTGGACACGACCATGTAAGTGACAGCTTACCCCGGCAGTGAACACCTGCGAAGTACGATTGGCCATCGTAGTAGTAGCTGGTTAGCTGATAGGGGAGTCACCGTGGATCGCCACACTCCGCTACACTTTTCGAGAAAGAGACAGCCTTTTCCCGATGCCTTGAGTCATCTGGCCGGACGTCTTTAAAGTTCGTCAGAATCACGTCCACGATAGTGGACGCGACACTGCCGAGGCGGCGTGTTGAGGTTTATATTATTTTAGCACGTTGTGGGAGCAGCGGGGTAGGAAGAGAGAGGGAGCGTGCGACCGCAGGCATTTGGGAGTCTCAAAATAGCATCGCATTTTGTCAATCGCTCGCCAGACCCCCCTGGGGTTTTCTGGCGACCTGTGGATTTCGCTTCGCAGAAGATACGTTTTTTTGCGAATCTTGTTTCTTTGCGAAGCTATGGGGGAGCACGGGGGAAGTATGGGACACCCATCGGTCGCCAGAGCCCCCTCTGGGGTTTTCTGGCGGCCTGTGGGTTTCGCCTCGCAGAAGACATCGTATCTGCGAAGCTATGGGGGAGCACGGGGGAAGTATGGGACACCCATCGGTCGCCAGAACCCCCCTGGGGTTTCCTGGCGACCTGTGGGTTTCGCTTCGCAGAAGACATCGTATCTGCGAAGCTATGGGGGAGCACGGGGGAAGTATGGGACACCCATCGGTCGCCAGAACCCCCCTGGGGTTTTCTGGCGGCCTGTGGGTTTCGCATTGCAGAGGACATCGTTTCTGCGAAGCCATGGAGCCCGCAGAGACAGCTGCACGGGCGGACGTCGCGCTTCCCTTCTTCCAGGCAAAGGCGGGGCCCCCGCTGGACCCGTCCCTTGTTGAACTTTGCTAGGCCCTACCTGCTGGTGTTCTGTGCTGTAGGGGGAATATTCAATAATAATCAAAAATAGTCAGGGGACAGTTTCTTTCTAGGATGTTTGACTATTTCTTAATGTTATTGTTTTTTTGGCTTTTTGTGAAAAAATGTAGTTGTCGTCCAGCATTCGCCTGTAGGGGGGCATGCCCGACCTAATCCTACCTGCTGGTGTTCTGTGGTGTAGAAGGATTGGGGGGGTCTCCTTCTCAAGGTGGGGTTTTCACCTGGACTGCAGGCGGTGCGCATCCCGGGTCTACTCTGGTCCTCCTCCACCTCCCCAGAGGTCCCCAGAGGTCCCCAGAGGCTTCCGCAGGCCTCGAGAGGCCCCCAGAAGGCCAATAAGCGTCCACAAGCCTCGACCCTCGCTCGTCGAACCTCGACTCTCGAGCCTCCGCCTTGGGCCCGACTTTGCTGCCGAGGTGGCTTGGGGGAGGTCGTCGTGAAGGTGCTGAAGCACCACGACCGCGCGCACTGGGGCAAGCAGTTCGCCTTCGCGATGCACCGCGAGAGCCAGGAGCCTTGTCTTTTGGCACCCTGCTCGCGAGGAGGAGGCTCCCGAAAGATTGGAGCGGACGGTTCTGGGCTGATCTCGGCCTCCGGGGGCCCTCGCAGGGCCTCGGGGCCGTCAAAGACGAGTCGGCGGACGAAAAACCGGCCCTGGGGAAGTCATCTAGACCTCTGGGGCCCACGCATCGCGAAAAGATTCTGGAGCAGCCGGATGTCTGGGAATGGCCGATCT